AAAGCCACTGCCAGTTAAAACAGCAGCCCCAGGAAAGCCATGAAGGTCCAGAAGACAGATGGAAGTGAGGGATGGGGACGTCGTTTGCTGCATTCCGTGGGGTGCATGTACTTTTAGTAATCTGTTAAAATAGAAAGCCAGTGGTGGGGTGGCTCGTGGATCAGACTCCTGATGTCATGAGCCAAACAGCCAAGAGCGGCCAAGTCCCAGCCTGAAAAATATGGAAATATTTTGTTTCTAAACTTCTCTTTATCAGACTCTCTCACATCATTTGGCTCCTTCATTTTTCTCCCAAAGGCCACTTAAATCCTTGACATTTTCTCCTGGTGATATAATTTAATGCAGCCAGACAGGCTGAAACGGGGCAGCTCTCAGCTGGGGCTGTGGAGGTGACGTTCTCAGGCACTGGCTGAGAGATCGTTTAATCCTCTGGGCACTCGGAATTCGGCTCTGATGGGGATGTTGGACGTGGTTGTGCTCTCACTCCCCACGCTGGGAGATGGCAAAGCTGGTGAAATGCTGTCACTTCACCAAGTTTTGCGTGTGTAGAGCAGGCAGAGTTCTCTCCAGACACCTCTGCCAGGGTCAGGGATGTTCCCTTGGGCATCACAGCTGATCCAGCACCTCACAGAGAGCAGAGCTGTGCACATTGTGGGTCTCAGGGAGAAACTTGTCGTGTATTCCTTTACAAATTGTTGTTTTCTTGACAACTCGTACCCTAACAGCATGTACCTTCCAAAGCCCTGTAATTCCAACAGCATTTCCAATCCAACTCTTCCCTTGCCTTTACCCAAGGAGAATGAAATGCAGATTAAGTACAGTTCTGACTGCATTCTGCAGGGCAATTATTTAACCTCTTTGGTAATTTGACCCATGCACCAATCAGCTGAAATGCAGCAAAATAATTTGCTCTCATTTATGTTGGACTAATGTAGTTAAAATTGCTCTTACTCTTGGATTTCTGCTGGTTTAGCTGGATGGACTCGATTCCAGTCATTTTAAGATGCAGCTGCGTTTGTTGGAGTTACTTCCATAACACTTTTTTTCCCTTAGAGGACATTCCAATTTCTCTTTTTGGTGGTTCCACACTGTGGGTTTCCCTCCAAGTCGAATATTTTGTGGAAGCAAAGTGACATTTTCAAAAGCAGGAGCCTCATCTTAGGGTCATTTCTGCATGTCAGGTGCTTAAACGTGGAATATTTGAATGGGACCAGGTAACAGCCAAAGAATTTGGGTCTCTAAGTCACTTCAGAACTCTCCCACTAGTCCCTCACTTTTGAAATTGTTGTCCATACATATTTGCCAAAGGAACTCGACACAAATTATCTCTCAGCTGTGAGGGAGGAAACAAATATGAAACACCTAATGATTCCAGCACGCTTGGGGCTGCACAGCCTGGCCCAGTGTTAGCTCTTCAGATAAACACAGACGCTCAAGGACAATCTTTTTCCATGCAGGGACTGCCTGCTGTGGCTCCAGAGCTTCTCCCAGACACTGTTTTTGCTGTAAATGTAGGGTTTTCCTGACCTTTCACAACAGCAGAGGCTTATAAACCACTGCAGCAGAGTAAGAGCAAAATGTTTTCTTCCTTGTCACTCTGATGTCTAAAACACACTGCTCAAAGGAGGAGATCCACCTTCAGACTGTTTCCAGTGCCTTCTGCAGGGTAACTGTGGGTCAGAATTTGTAGTCTCCAGCAGAAGGGGGAGGAAGGCATCTGTGTCAGTGGGAGGATTAACCTCCTGTGTGCAGTTTGAACACTCTGGGGGTGGTTTGGCTGTGTCGCTGCTGCCTGTGAGGTATGTAACCCTCTGTGTTGTTGTCCAGCAGGGTGGAGAAGCGGAAGGTGACAGACCCTGTGGGTGCCCTAAAGGAGAAGTACCTGCGACCCTCCCCGCTGCTTTTTCACCCCCAGGTAAAGGAGTGACATTGTCTTGTGTTGACTGAGATGGAGCTGGCACAGACAGGGCACTGGGATCACTGGGATCAGATTCCTCCTCATCCAAGGGCCTGAAACTCTGCACTTTTCCATGGTTTACTTTCAGATTCTCTTAGTTCACGGTGGTAATTGTGCCCTGCTGTTTCTTTAGCATTGCCAGAAGAACAGCACCAAAGCAGCAGCATTTTATACCTGCTTGGTGTAACCAGGATGTGTGGAAGTGCCAGGCAGTGGGTTCAGCTGTGCCTGCTCCAAAGGCAAGGGACAGTCACCACCGATCCCCATCCCTCCTGCTGTGCCCAGGCTGAGATCCCAGTGCCCCGGTCCTTATTGTGCTCTCCTTTACATTCACATGCATTGTTCTGCCCTGATAATGTTTCCCACCTTAGATAAATAACTCACAGGTTTGTGAAAGCTGGATCCTGGTTGCTTTCACAGCTAAACTTAGTTCCCTCATTGTTTCACACCAGCCTCAGAGTTTGGTTAATAACTTCCCCTGATTTTTCCTTCATCCAGGCTGGATAATGGTGACAGGCTGGCCAGGAACATCCTGTGTTTGTGTGAGTTAGAATAGTGGGGATATCTGCCTGTAAAGAATCTGATAGCAGGGAGGAGCCAGCGTGGCAAAGCAACCCAACGAGACGATGAGGAACACACAGACCCTGAGCAGGAGAAACTTTGGGTGGAAGGTTGTTAACATTGTTCCTGAAATCCTGACCACGTCCTCTTCCCATGGCAATGAAAAGACGTGGAAGGTCTGGTTATCTCTAATAGCTTATCACACAGAATAGCCCAAAATTTACAATCACTCAAGCCCAAAACTTCCTGGTAACTGATTTGCACTGAAGTGGGTGCAGATCACTCGGTCTGCAGTCGCCGTTCCCATGCTGCAGTCAGGTGCTGCTAATGCAGGGAAGGAAGGCAGAGTTGTTCCAGAATAGGTGAGGTCTTTACTACCAGATCCCCATCCAATATTATCAGAGAACATCCTGGGCTGGAAGGGACCCACAAGGATCGAGCCCAGCTCCTTGCCCCACTCAGGAGAGCCCCAGGAATCCACCAGGTGCCTGAGAGCATCGTCCAGATGCTGCTTGAACTGTGACAGGCTTGAGGCCATGACCACTTCCTTGGAGAGGATCCTGGATCTTTTCCTGAGAAATCATATTTTCAGGGTTCCTGCTCCTGTCTTCTTCATTCGGACCAACATTCCTGTACTGGGTCAGTCAGTCACACTCTCTACCTGGGCCTCTCACTCCAAACACACCTCTGGTCTCAGCCTTTTCCTCTGTGACTGACTCTCAGCTCTCACTGAGCACCCTGGGCGGAGGTGATGAAGGCAGAAGATGTGACTAAAGCATTTATTCTCTCTCAAAAAGAATTTCAGCCGTCTCTTCTTTCTCAGCCAGTGACTGACAGAAGTTCCTCTGCTCTCAGGGAGTTTTCTCCCATTGTCTATTCCAAACGAAACTCTGGACAACATAAATAACTGGTGTAACTTTTTGATAACTTAATGGAAAGCCTTTTCTCACCTGTTAAGTTTCTTTTCTTTTCCCTTTCCTTTTGATTCTAACCAGGCAGTTACTCCCTAAATAGCAAAGTGCCTTTGCCACTGGAGAGGCCGTGGCCGGTGCTTAGAATTTTAAAACCAGCCTGCAGCTCTCGAGCCAGCAAACATCTCTGACTAAGTGCCTAAAGAACAGGGCACAACAAAGGAGAGCTCCAGGTACCCTGCTCAGGGCTGAGCCCGCGGCTCCCAGAGATCCGGAGAGCATTTTAACGCGCTGGTTTTGTTACATGACTGGCAGCTGGGGCAGAGCTAGTGCTGTGAGTGATCACATAACCTTTCAAGGGCTGCAGCTAAGTATTACTTACTATTTATCATGGGCTGGAGCCTCCAACCAAGGGGCTGTGGATCTATTATTGGGAAATGGGGGTTACTACTCCTCTTTTTTTACGGCTTATGAATGGCTGTCAGCCTTCCACAATGGATCCTTGGGTGATTAAGACAACTTTTTTTATATAGTCCTATATTTTTAAACAATATCTTGGCTCTCTTCCCCCTCTGCCCCCGCCCAGGCCCAGTTTAATAAAGTGTAAACGTGCAAAAGGTCAGCCCTTCCTGTACAATAGAGCATCTCGTTGTGATGTATGGCTTCCTCCTGCCTTCCGCTCCTCCCCGGGGCTCCTGCCAGAGGCAGCTTCACTGCTGCCTTGTCTGGGTGATCCCTCTTTTCTGCTCTTGGTATCTTGAAACTGCTCTTAGGAGTGCACAAAACTGGACACTGGAGATGTCAGTGTCATCTCTCAAGCTGCACTGCTCCCCTGGGTTTGGGCTTCCTGCTCTGATGAAAGCAAAAGGGCTTTTCTTGGGGGGGAATTTTAATGCAGATC